CTCGAGAGAAAAGAAAAAGCTTCAATTCTGGGGCTCCATGTCCTTGAAAATTCCATCCACACAGTTTGGGCGGCCTGGACCAGCTAGGTGAAGCTGGAGTTCATAAGTCAAGGCCTGAGAAAGAACAGAAAGGTTTCCTCAGCCCTTGCACTGGGGCCACAGACTATCCTGACCATGTCTCTCAGCTTCCACCAAGGAGTCATCCGGAGCATTCTCAGTGGGAGGCAAGCTATAAATTAGGAGGGAGGTAGAGTTTAGCCAGAGGTCTCAATTGCTTAGCAGAACTGCCAAGTTACTACCTGGGTAGTGTTTAGGGCAGATACGGCCCAAATGAAATTGACTGGGGACAGGTGCAGGGTGGGAAAGTAAAGCTCAGCCAGGGGCCTTCAGGATTCTGGCCTGATTCAGTGTGCACCAAAGAATGTCAAAAGGCAGATCTCCTTCCTACTTTTCCAACTTGACCAATGTAGTCCTGACCAGAAGGAGAACCATCAAGTCACTAAAGGAAAAAATGGTGTCCTTCTGACAATGGGTCTGTGGAAATGAGAAAAACTGCCACCAAGAATGAGTAGAAGAATATTTTGCCTTGGTCATCCAAATCCTGAGAGACATTCTGTTCTGCAGAATATTAAGCCCATAATATGCCACTAGAAAAAGTATCCCTGTAGTCAGGAGTGGTGGTGCATGCTTATAATCCCAGCACTCAGGAGGCTGAGGCAGGAGGATCGCCACAAATTCGAGACCAGCCTGGGCTACATAGTGACTTTAAGGCCAGCCTAAACTACATGGGAAGACCTTGTCTTAAAAAACAAAACAAAACAAAAAATGTATCCCAGGTACCAATACCTGGCAATTAATATTTCCTATATTTCTCAAGTACTAGGTTCACACTGCCTTTTAAGCACATGGATGGCCCTGAAGAGTTTTGTCATTTAAAAAATATAGTTAACCAAACTTAAGAAAAGAGGAAACATTATGAAGTGGTTAAGAATGGGGAGCTCTGATGTCAAGCTTTGTACCTCATGTTCCTCCACTTTCTAGTTATGATGTCCAGACCTATAAGATTTAAAGCTATAATCACAGAACTTCAGTAGGAGCTAGCACTGCCCATCAACACAGAGATGGAAATGGCCTTGTGCCACTTCACCCCATTGTCCTGAAACATGCAGAGTGGAATAAACTAGCAGCAATAATTACAGCTGCAGGTTTCAAGTTGCCTACTACACTAGCGCTCTCTAAAATCCTAAACCTCAGTTTCTGGTGTCATTCCTGTTATCCCTATTGTAGTCTATAATAACCACCAGGAGCCCGGGGATGTATATTGGTCACTCTACTGGTATGAATCTTGCCAACTCTTTCAAAGGGTTAAACTCTTCAATTCTTTTTTTTTTTTTTTGGTACCAGGGATCAAACTCAGGTCCTTGTGCTTGCGAGCCAGGTGGTGGAACCACTGAGCTAAATCCCCAGCCCTCTTCTTCTATTCTTATTCATACAAAGATCTAGGTTGAAATTTCAATTCATATATACATCTCTGCTCAAATTTATTGACAAATATCAAATCCATACTTTACTTTGAGTCCAGCCCTGTCCCAGCAGAACAAAGGTTGTTGCTTCTGCCCCTGAATTTTTAGTATTCATGGCTCAGCTTCCTTCTAACTCAGTCTTTTAGATATCTAGAGTATCGTGTGGCCATGCCAATTTGCATTTTACTTGTGCATCCTTCTACCAATCCAGTACTTATGAACCACTTCCAGACACCAAGTTCAGGTGATACAATACTGAACAAAAACAGACATTCCCCTTTTCACTCAACATACACTTTAGTAGAGGAAAATGACAAATGAATAAATAAATATAATCATTTCAAATAGTGAAATATGCAAAAAACCAAGATGAGATTGTAAAGTAATAGTGATGGGGAGAAAGGAACTTAGTGAGGGAGTCAAATTAGGTCTTTGAGGGGTAGTGATACCCGAGCTGAGAGACCTAAAAGACAAGGAGGAAGCAGGCATGGCAAGACCTAGTGCACAAAGTAAAGGCTAGAGCCAGGTTCCAGTTTGGAGGGAGAAATACGGCAAGTCAGGGTGACTGGAGCAAGCTGAATAAGACAGGGAAAGTGCAAGAGATGAGATCAGAAGGAGAGGCAGGGCAGATGTTGCCCAACCTTACAGGAGAAGGTAAGGCGTCTGTATTTTATTTTCATTGCAATAGAAGGCCACAGCAGAATTTCAAGTAGGGAGTGACATAAGGAATGATTAAATCCATTCCTGTTCTTGGGGCCATACAACCATAGTAACTATGTGCTTAGCAAAATGTCAGTGATTCTCAGATACATTCTACATTGTTTGCTCAAAATCACACTAGGGATATTATGGTACTGTAACAGAATGGAAGCTAAAATTATGACACTGCCATCAAAAGACATCCCTATTGGCCTCAGAGAAACGTTACAGTGTAATTTAAGAAGGCAGAATTTCATATATGTTAATAACTCTCATTAATAAGATAAACCCTTCTGGGATTTGGCAGTGATAATTCAATCGTTATCTGAATACTAAAATAATAGTTTTACAGAAAAAGAAGTGCTGCTTACAGTGACTGGAAAGTGAGAGAACTGGAAATGTAAAGATGGTATCCGTAACAAGTATCATTCTACTATTTTACAGTTCCTGCCAAAGTAGCTTTTTAAAAATATATGCATGAAAGCAAGTCTCCAATTAAAAAGAAATGTCAAATATACACAAACTTATTGGGCCCACTCCCTACAATTATAATAAATGATTAAGTATGTGTTACAAAGATGATAAGGCAGAGTATCTCCTTCTAAGCCTGACAGACACCTTCCACATTTTTACTTATCCTTTACCTGAAGTGAAGATCTACACAGAGGAGCCAATTCCTGGAATGTTTCTGGTAAGAAAATACATCTTTCCAGAGGTAATGGCAGGGATAAAACTTTAGCAGACACTATTCATAGAATTCTGTCAAGTTTCTCTTTACCTTTGAAGTCAGGTAAGTGTATGCGCTCCTGACAATAACATTTAGCAAAGAGACTGAAACCAGATGGAATGTAATCATGGAGAGAGGGACATTAAGCAATTAAAACCCAGATGACTCTGAAGTCCTTTGATTAAAAACGATGAGAACATACTAATGCTACCAACAGCAGGATAGACTTTCATGTATCTTGTTACATGGGACCAAGATGATATCCTTAAACAGAGCAAGACCTCCTCCGTCTCCTGGAGAAGAAATACAGATTGGTCCTCCTTTCAAATCTCTGACACTTGCTTTAGATTTCTCTTTTACCTTTAGTCATTTTAAGATTTATGTTGAGGTTACTATGCAATAAAATTATTCTTGATTTATGTTACAAATGCAAGACTGTTCTCTCTCCCCCAATATATCACAAAATCCTAGAAGTCAGAGTCATTTCTCTTGCTCTTCACTCACTGATAGTGTAAAAATTTGAAGCACTATATGAGAGAGGGAGGGAAATAAAAAAGTCATCCAGCTACCCTCCCCCAAAATAACACTGCTAAGTTTATTATATCCCATTCCATAAAAGCATGTGTTTACATATAATCTTTTATGTTGTTCAATGTTAAACCACTGAGCAATTAATTAAACTTTAATTCATGAATTTAATATATTTAATGTATGTATTTATTTAATGTATTTTATTACAGAATTTTTAATCATTTATAGTTCAAGGCAGTATACAAATAAACTACTATACATTATTGCAAAATAAAGGTGTGCGTAGACATACCCAGTATAAACAGCGCGCCCCTCCCATATTCTAACACTTTCTACTTCTTCAGCATCACTGCAGGTAGAACAACCCTGATTCAGGCCTGGTGAGACCAGTTTCGTCTCTACCCCACAAGGTGTTCCCAGGTCAACACACTCCAGCTCTTTGGAACTCAGTTTCCTCTCCTACAAATGAGGTGTTCTTTATGGCCCCTTTGAGAGTCTAGGTTAAAGTTGACTGGGTAACAACAAATACAAACATAAACACTATGGCCAAAGACAAATATTGCATCAGTGCCCAAGGCTCAGAAGAAGCAAATCACAAAGACAATATAACAGATTTCCATAAGAATATATAGATAGATGCAATTGGAGCAGCTGTTTCTTAATTTTCTGATACAATTTATAAGAAAATATGTTTTTTATCACGTAATAGAGATGCACTGAGTGATATACACTGCTCCTGAAATTATCTTAAGATACACCAGCAACCCTCCAAACGCAGAAATAGCCCGTTTCCTAATTACTCAGGTATGCATATGATCTTCCCTCTAGAATCTAAGTACTTATTTTTCCATTGTCATAAGTCATATAAGTGTTTGATTGTTTTCAGTAGCTATAGGGCCACAACTCAAGGCATTAATTAACATCTTAATTCTCATTTGCTACCATATGCAACAATTAATTGTCCCAACAGAGAGAGAAATCTACTTCTTGGTCAGTTTATAGCAGCAGCACTGAGTTGTACAAGGAGTAACAATTAAACATCTAGGGTGGAGAGCACTGAGAGAAGGGCTGAGAAGTGACAGAGAAATAGAGCTGGAAGCCGGAAGCACATTAGCCATGTTGAAGATAAGACTGGCAATACAACTTCAAGATAACAGTAGCAAAGCCATTACTAATAGCTGAACATCCCCATCCTAAGGCAAAACCAGGAGGAAAGAAGTGGTATTTATGAGTATTTTTGCTAGAACTTCTTGATATTTCCCTCATAGGCAAGAAAGATGGAGGATGAGAGATCAAGCCCTGGAGTTAGACAGCTATGGATTCTGCCTCTTCTACTCAGTTCTGAGCCTCCACGTGTTCACTTACTTGAAGAGACAGTGCAATGCATGCATTCTTATTACTACTACCATTGGAAGCATGTGTTTCCGTGGGCTATCTACCTCTTGTGAAAAACAGGACTTATTAAAAAGAGTTAAAGTAAAACTGAGAAAGCACACTGTACAAATGGAGCCATTACTTACCTGAAAGGAATTCATTTGGCGAAGGGAAGGAGGCAGCATGGCGTTACTCCTTGACAGTATCAACAGCAGTTCCAGGCAGGTTGCAGAGGGCAGGGTCAAAGAGTGAACGCTGATGTCACTTTCCCACAAACTGGCAAGCCTAGAACACACTGACAAGTTAACTCTCATAAACGCACTACCACAACTGTTTTAAAAATTTGATATAGAATAAGAAAGACTTAGTTGTAAGAAAAAAAATTACAAAAAGTAGAAATAAAATACATTAAAAATTCATGAATTAAAGTTTAAGATATTTATATAGTGTTGGCATAAAGCATATGGGATTAGGCAATTTGCAGGCTATCATTTCATACTCAAAGTATAAGAGTTTTAAGAACTGAAAAACTTAATGGTATGGGACATGTTGAAAAGAGAGCGATTAATGGCTCACACATGGAATGCATCCTCTGTTCGATATGCTCTGTTCTACATGGAATTCCTTGTTCACCCTGGAAACCTAAGCGAAGGAAGTACTGTTATCTCCACTGTACAGATGTGCAAATTGTTTCTGAGCCAGGTAGGCTGTATGAAACATCTAGTTCAGTGACTTCCAAACTTTTAAAAGTGACAGGATCTTTGGTCAAAAAAACTCTCATAACAGCCTCAACCTTACAAATAAAAGGCAAAGCTGCTGTTTGAAGGGGAAAGTTGGCCAAAGGCCTCCCTTCATCTTCCACAGAAGCTCTTGAAGCAGCTCTGCTGGATCCAGTGGAGCCCTATGTGACAATCCTTTCATTTGAGAGATCAAGAGACTACAGGCTAGGAAATAAAGGGACTTGTCTGAGATGAGACAGAAGTATAGGAAGTGATAAGGCTGGGTATAGAATCCTGACTCCTCATCTAGTACTTACAGTAAAGACGAAGGTCAGGAAATAATGAGAAAATAAGATAATAAGAACAGCATGAGTGCCATGCTTTCAACTCTTCTGCTTGGGTGTTTTTTGCCTGATCCCTTGCCAGCATCTATCACTATCCTACTTTTTAGAGAGAAATATTCATATGTAAACACATAACATTTACACATCTACTTTGTAAACATTTATGAACTTTTCTGTGCCTTGTACAAATTTATCTCTGCAGAGCTACCTTTACCCAAGTCAGTAGTGAATATTAGAACCTAAGGGAGCCTCAAGGGTTGAGAGAATAATGGATTTTACCAGTTTGTGAGATGAGTCATGCTCAATGGTTCAGGTGCATCACCAAACAAATTATTTACTGAAAATACATTTCTGATGTGGATGGCAGAATTAATTCTCCTTCAAAGCATTTGCCAACTACCTAAACCAGAGTAGGCACTGCTCACTTTTCTAAAAATGAACCAATTTCAGAAAGGAAATGTTTGAGTGTCTTTTCTGTGTTTTAAAAATGATTAGTTCATGCTGACTAGCTCTGCTATTCTTTCTGGTTTTGCTCATTATATAACTTTCTCAACATTTTTCTGGAATAGAAATAAAAATGCCGCACTCTTAAAAAATTCAAACTTCGTTCTAGTACAGTGGCTCAGAGCTCACTCTCCACCCCGCTTCCTTATGCCATCCACACTCTATACAGTTACTTTCCATCCTCTGAATAGCATTACACTGCATATTTTGTGCCTGACATATACAGTTTTCTGGGCCTGGAAGGCTGTTATTGTTACTGAAAAACCTCTACTCATCCTGTAAGACCTACTTATGCTCAATTCCTTGGCAATACATACATATTACAACACAACACGGCCTTACTAGTATTATTTGGGATGTGCCTAGAAGTCCAATTCTTGCTAGATCAAACATGAGTGAATTCCTCTCTGTGGCCTTAATGTGGAATGAAACATTAGAAAACTGTCCCCAAAATGTTTTTCTGCACACACTCCAGAATTAACCTCTTTTTGGGGGGAGGGGGTCTTAGGAGAGTAGTTTACATTTTTATTTACTTTTAACTGATACATAAAAACAAAAATTGTACATATTAATGGAATACTTACCACGTACTATTTCAGTACATGTATATACTGTATAATGTTTAAATCAAATTAAATATACCTATCTTCTCAAACGTCATTTATTGTGAAAACTCAAAATCCTTTCCTTCTGGTTGTTGTGAAATATTTGCTATACAAAATTACATTATCTCACAGAACTGGTACATATATGTGTCGCATGCTGATCATTTTTACTTCTCCCTTCAACATTCTGCAAATGGCTATGGTGTAATCTATCAAAAAAGACATGCAAATAGAGATTAAAGTGCATCAGCACTGCTTTGTCACTCACCAGCAAGTGACCTCAGACAAGCACTCTAGAAGCCTGGTTTCCTCAGAAGACCTTGGAGTCATAAATAACCCACCCATTATGTCAAACCACCAAAATTTATACAGACACTGACAATATTAATAATAGCCAGGGTCACAGAAAATGCAATTTAAAAAATTAAAAGTTACCAATGTTAGTTTCCATGTTATATAGATATGGACAACTGCATGATTTTCAATTTAATCCTTAAAGTATTCTATGATTTAACAATTTTAAACCTCATAAAGGTAAAGTGTATGATCCTGATCACAGACTCAGTGACTGATGGAAAAGAAATTCAAGTATGATCTTTCCCATGTATATCCCATTCTTTTTATTACAGCATAAAAAAAGGCAAAATTGTACTAGTCATTACTTAACTAGCTCTATCCAAAAAGATTAAAAACCCCAAAGGGAAAATGATAGGGGAAATTTCAGGTATCTTAAAATTCTCATTTTTAAATAATTTGAACAACTTTTTTCTTGTAACTAGACAAACCATTTAGACCTAATATAGTCAAATCCCTAAAATTCATCCTCTCTTTCCTATTCCCACATCATATTTTTTAATAGTCCAAGAACTTATTTTTTAATGTCAAGAGTTATGCATTTTCTGTAAATTTTAATTATAAAACATCTATACCTGAAAACAAATACAGGAATAGGTAAAAAAATCAAAGTAGTTGTTTCATATAGTAAGAGTTTTGGGTAAGTCTTATTGTAGAATTTTAATGTTTTCATACTGTGGGTGTTTTTTGTTTTTTGGGTGTTTTGTTTTGTTTTGTACTAGGGATCAAACTCAGGACCTTGTGCTTGCCAGGCAGGCACTGCACCTGAGTTCACATTTTTTTTTTTATTTTAAGAAGAAAGAAAGAATACAGAAAAGAGGAGGGAAGGAGAAGTGGCTTGGCATACTTAAAAATTCAGTTTATCTTAAAACAGTCACCAAAGTCATTATGTAAAATTAGAAGATGTGGACAGGACCAGAGGTGTCATTAGCAACTATCCACCCAATTCTTAAATACCAGTTAACAACATCTGTTAAAAATGCAAGCATTTTAAGAAACATTTTAAGAATGTGGATTACTTCTGATATTTCCTGTAAAAATTCCATACGCTATTAGGCCTAATGTGGTAGTTTTCCTACTATAAATCAACAAAAAAGATATTTCAAAGGGAACAATGCATTCTACATCAACTGAAACCTATTTCTGTGATTTTTAAGGCGCTAGGAAAGAAAAGCATTCCTAAGAGACAAGCACTGCCAACCAAGTGACCTTCGTCTAAAAGACCAAAATGCAAGCAGAGGATATACCATCCTTGTTTTTAAACTTTTGCCTTGAGAAAATTCCCTAGAGAACTACGGCCTACCTATTTTGAAAGAAGCAGTGAGAAGGGGGGAAAGAGTCATTTTCTCTTACTTCTAACAAAAATGTTAAGATTCAGAATGAACAAACGAATCAATATTAAGAAAACAGAAAGGTGATACTGTCCTTTAGGGAACATGGAGGTCATTATCCATAATGCTAAGCGAAATAAATTAGACACAGAAAGTCAAATTTCACATGGTTTCTCTTATATGAGAAACCCAAAACATAAATAATTTCAAGAGCAAAATAAAAGACAGAAAATAAGGAGATAGACTTTCTGAAGATGGGAATCTGGGTTGGGAGACAGAAAGGGGAAGTAAAAATTTTAGTATATGTACTGCACAGGGGGAGTAAAAATGACTAAGATACAATATGTGTATGTACAAATTCTCCATGTAATGATTACGCATCACAAGTATGTGCTGACTAAAAAGAAACATGGGGTCACTTAATAGAAATAGAACAAATAGAAATAATACAACTCAATAGTAAAAGTTAAAATATTTAATTAGAGTCTAACATATTATATAGAGAAGAAAAAAATGATAGTGTGGAAAAATTCAAGGTGGAAAAATTTAACTTAAATGTCATGTTTCTCATACTTTAATAGATGTGGACACTTTAGACCCAGAATCAAAGGAAGCCTATTAAAGATATTGAAATGTTATATTGAAATGTTTTTGTTTGTACCTGCAGATTTTAGAATTTTAAAAGCTGTAACAATAAGTCCTTTATGTAACAGACAAATCACGTATTACAACACAACACGGCCTTACTAGTATTATTTGGGATGTGCCTAGGAGTCCAATTCTTGCTAGATCAAACATGAGTGAATTCCTCTAACTTTGTGGCCTTAATGTGGAATGAAACATTAGAAAACTGCCTCCAAAATGTTTGTCTGCACACACTCCAGAATTAACCTCTTTTTGCAGGGAGGGGGTCCTAGGAGAGTAGTTTACAATCATAAATGTACACTAATTAATATATAAGTTGCAAAACCAAACAAAATTTTAAAGATTCGTATGAACCACTCAAGAACACAAACTCCAAAACAACTAAATGTGTGTTACGATAAGTCATGTTAACTCCACTATACTTAAATATTTTAAAAACTCTAATTCATAAACATAGGCACATACCTACCTCTGTTTATAAATTTCAAAATAATGTTCAGTGAGTAACAAATAGTATCCACAAGAAATAGTTTTTTAGAAAATTACAGAGAAAAAAAACAATCTTTTTTTGTTTTGTTTTTGTTTTTTAAATTTTTATTTTATAAACGTATCTCATTTTTTGTCCATATCCATGAACTTTCTTGTTTTTTAAATTTAAATTGAATTTATTGGTACATTCTAGGTAGACAGTACAGTTACATTCATTACTGGGATCTTGTACCTTTACATGCCAGGTCTTGGTTCTCATTTTTTCCCCTTGTCCCCACCCTCCCTTCACCCCCT